CATCCTGCCAGGTTTACAGTGAAAGATCACAGTTTTCTGACAACGGCATGAGGAATATTTCCCATCCAGGGATGAGTGACTCCTGACAGGAGTTTGCAGGTTTGGCAAGACATTGCATGGATCAGGCCAAACTAAACACTGAGTGGAAAACTCCACTCAAACAGTGTCTCGTGGGCCCAGGCTCCCTGGAGCCAGTCCACATGTGCAACTGCCCCTGGTTAGAAATGAAACAGCAGCTAAACAGAGCTGCACATACTGTACAGAGGATGTGCTCAGTCAGGTGAAGGGAAGGATGACAGGACCGCTGGGCCGCCATCCCAGGCCCAAGCGGAAGAATACACTGTGAGTTTTTCCAGGACTCTCATAATGCCAAAGACATTTTAGTTGTGGTTTAGAGGGAATATTTTGAGCATAAATGGCTTTTGTGACCCATATGTCTGAATAGTTTCCCTTTTAGGCTAGAATAGACAACACTTTTTCACATCTCTACAAACTGAAAAAATAAATAAATAAAATAAAATACATAGAGAAAACTCAATGCATAAATATATTCTACCAGACCCCCACCATTTCAACTTTATTGTTCAGTTACAAATTCAGTAGTTAGGAATAGTATTTCTCTACATCTTCTGTAGTGACAAATTCACTATTTATACCCAACTATTGCATATTTATTCATGTGCTCTTTAAATATGTTTTTGATCATTTATTTTAGAAGTTTAAAAGGTGTTATGGAGGGACATAACACGTAATAGTTAGTGTAATGGCTATGTCGCAGAACTCTCATGTAGTCGACCGTGGTTTGAGTCTCAAATCCAGTGGCTTAAACTCATGCCAGGCGCGTATGCGTGCATGCCCAAGATCTCAAGAGGAGAATGAAGGAGAAGGGATTGAAGCGTGGCCATCCCCCCTGGGGGGTGATTTCTCGCTTTCTGTCTCTCTCTCTCTCTGTCTCTCTGGTGAGCGCACGTGCCCTGTAGAAAAAAACCTCTCAAAAAAAAAGGTGTTATGAAAGCACCACTCAAAATTGTGCCTCTGATAAGAAGCCTGCCATAAGGAGGACAAACTGACCCATTATATCTAAACCTGTGCTTTCCACATGTTAACATTCTCTTCATTAGCATGAATAATAGAGAGTTGTTAACGCATTTACTTTGACAGTACGCAGTACTTACCCCTTATGTCTAGAATTGGGTATCACACATGTGGGTATGTGTGGCAAATGCACAGCAAAAAAGAGGGGAAGCCACTGTACTTACAGCATATAACAGTAAATGTCAAAGAATAGTTTAAAATGTCAGAAGATCCTAAATGTGGAAATAAATGATAATCTTAAAACTTTGAATTTCAAAGGATTGTGCAGATGTATAAATAAGATTAATTGTACCACATGCACTCATATTCCTACAACTAACAATGGCTATTAACATCCAATTTCCAAAAAAATTATCTATTTCCTTATTAAAAAATTCTTAAAACTGAGTAGTATAGTTTTATCAAGTTATTAACAAATACTAACATTCACTTAAATGAAATTATATCTCATCTATGTCTTTTTATGCAAAGAAGAAGGAAAGAGTCAAAAATTATTGTAAGCGCTTAACAGTAACAAATAGGTCAGCTACCCTCTGCTGTGTTTCACTGTGCTTTCCTGGGACTCCACATCGCCCTTCTCAGCAACTCTATTTTTTTTGTCATCTTGTAAATTCAAAGATTCTGACTCTTCTCTCAAGTACAAATAAAGGTGAAAGGCTTAACCCCTGTCAATTTTCTCACCAAAGAAGCTAATATTCCTCCTGTATCCATTTTCCAATGACCAAAGATTTAAAAAGGAAAAGAGGTATATTATTTTGTTCAATTCAGAAAATATTTTGATTGCACTTTTTAATCTTTTTCTTTTATATCAGTATCTAAAACTTTTATAGCCAAAATTTATAGGTTACAAAGTGCTAGTGCTGTCCATGTTATTTTAATTCTCATTAGAACTCTAAGAAATATGTGTTCTGAGCATTATTCTGGTAGATGCAGAAACTGAAGCCAGAACCTGAATCTGATGCCAGGCACAAAGCTTTTTCTTGACTACAGCTGCTCTGAATAAACTAAAGAAAGAGATTATTTTGGTTAGAATTCCCTTATATTGTGTAAAATGCAAAAATAAGGTGTAAGAATTAAAGGAAAGAGAAAGACTAATAGATCCTGACAAGGTATTTAGCAATACTAAGTAGGTTGCTAAAAAAAACATTTTGATAGAGAAAGAAGAAGCAAGACTTGAAAGTGATTCTTTCCATTTTTTTATTATTCTTACTATTTTCTATTAAACATTTGATTGCTAGACATCATTTGGTTTGTAAAGAGAATTTACCCAACATTAAATACATCTCAGACCATTCCAGTTGAGAACGGTATACACTTTATTATCAACAAGTGATAAACTATTTCTGTATCCCATGAATATCTTACCTCTCTATTTTCTCACAGTCATTTCAATGTTTAAGTAATTCACTCAAAAATGAGAACTACTTCAGCTTTAATATGACTAGTGCTATTCTGACAGGTGTTGCAAAGAAAAAAAAAAAAAAAACTCTGGAATTAAAACACCACAATTTCAGCCATAACATGAATAGCTCTAGGTAAAAGCTCCTTGTAACTGATAATTAATATCTCTACTGTAAAGTTAAAAAAAAAATTTGAACAGAATTTGAATATAATGTTAATACTGCTGAAAGACATGACAATTTGAAAGAGGTCTGTGAGGAAAATTACAGTATTATCAAGCAATGAGAAAACTTGTGGTCTGGAAGTTGATTGAAACTGAAAACAAAATCATTAACCACCTTAAAGTGATCATCTTTTGTAACTATACAAACTGTGCCTATTGAAGTGACAGGTGAGTTTCCTGCTCTACGAAATCTGAACAAGACTTTAGTTCACTATTCCTTAGTCACAAGAGCAGTAAGCCTTCCCACAATCCCCTCTGCCTTCATCTTCTACTTCCTCCTAGTACTTAGTGTTTCACAGTGTCTACTGAATTGTGAACTCAGACCTTTTACTGGTTTCAAAACAATTAAGACAAACAGAGAACCAGCAGTTAGGGTAATGGTTATGTCGCTGGACTCCCACGTAGTTGACTGCGGTTCGCGTCCCGGACCCGGTGGCTTAAACTCAAGCCGGGCACGTGTGTGTGTGCGTGCCCAAGATCCCGAGAGGAGAATGGAGGAGAAGGGATTGCAGCATGACCATCCCCCCTGGGGGGTGATTTCTCACTTTCTGTCTCTATGTCTCTCTCTGTCTGTCTGGCTAGCGTACGCGCCCTATAGTGAAAATCTCTCCAAAACAAAAACAAACAAAAAACAACAACAACAAAAGAAAAAAACAATTAAGACAAATATTAACTTCTAAAAATTTTCTATTCATGCTGATCATCATAAGCAAGAGGGATTTCATTAAAGATTTCAGAAGAGAACCCTCAAATTTTCAAACTCATCTTTCAAACACCATTTTTCTCAAAATTTCTCTAATAAGCATGTGATTTGGGGAGTTCTTTCCTGGCCTGTCCTCTAGGCTATACCTCATCTACCTTTGAGACCTCACATCTTCCTAACTGCTCTTGGTTCTCAATGACTTTTATCTTATGTCCTTCCCCCTGCAACTCAGGAAAAGCAAAATTTTTGTTCTTTCCTACAGTGTAACAATTCAGTTACTGTCCTTTGTTGCTGAAATATTCCGAAGGCCTACCTATCCAATACATAACCTCACCAAAACATTTTTCTCCCCCAATAGTATGTAGTAAAGAAGAAAGGAATGGGGCATGGTCATAATGACCAAACGACCCTGACCAGCCATTGATTTAAAAGGAAATGCATATATTTAAAATTATTTGGATAATGTATGACCTGTTCAATGTATTTTATATTTATAGTGGTTTTAGAAGCAAAGTGCTTGTGTGTATTTGGGCCACACTCATTTGAAGGATCAGCAACCAAAATTCCTCATATGGAGTCTTAAAATAGTAATTAAGGACCTGGTACCTGAAGCTAGACAACTGAGATTCAAATGTTAGCTCTCCTCTACTTTAGGCTGTACTGGATTGTGATCTTCTGACTCACAATCACTGATTCCATTTTAACATCTTTGTATCTGCCATAATGCTCAACAGGGTAACTTACTCATAATTATGACCCAATTAATATTTATTAGTTCATGATCAGCAGCTCTAATAAAAACTAATTGTGTATGTTTTTTATATTTATAACTTGGATTATGACCTTATCTGAGAAACACTCAAAACACTGTTTACCCACTATTTTTTGCTTTTTTTTAAAAATCTCTCATCATTTCTGTAGATAGTCTGACTTCTATTTCCATGGGCTTTATACTGTGCTTGCTGAAGTTCCAATCCTGCTCTCCAAAAACAAGGATAAAAGACTAACTAGACATTATGTTTATGAAGTTGCATCTATATCCATGGTAAAGAACATAATTCTGGATTTTTTGTTTTCCAATAAGTTTTAGGCTAACACATTTCCCATGTAAAATATGCAAGCAATTACAAAAGAATACTTTTAGTTGCCATTTTTAAATACTTGGAAAATGTGGAGGTGTTTTATGATGATCTTTTCTCTTGTGTTTTTTGTTTTTCTTGAAAATTACTTTATTTGTATGCAGCCAAGTGTTGGGGTAGGGTTAATTTGTAAAGGTCATTTTAGCTATTTTTTCATGACAAGGAGAAACTCAAGAATTTGAAACTACTTTCCAGATATTTAAGTCATGCTATCTCTTCTTCTCTACTCACATACTTCATTCTTACCACACATATATGTATACAAGTAAAACAAGTTCTCAGATTTACAGAAGACCATTGAAATAAATTAAAGGAAGTTAGCCAAAGGGAAAAGAGGAGACAATTTTAGGTCTCTGATTCTTTCTAGAACACAAAATCTGAAGCTTGGTTTGCTTCCAAACACCTGCACCTAACTAAGAGAGCAAGAATGCATTTTGTGGTGCTCACTTTAGCAGCACATGTGCAAAAAACTGGAACAATACAGAGAATATTAGCATGACCCCTGCACAATGATGACACACAAATTTTTAAAGCATTCCATATTTTTAGTACTAAAGGGAGTACTATAACATGAAAATTAAGAGAGACAAACAGAAATAAGAGACCCAAAGAAAAACAGTCAAGAAAATAGCTAACAAACTGGCAGGGATAAGTCCACAAATATTGATTAACATTGAACATTAATCAGTTAAATTCTCCAATTAAAAGACACAGACTGGCTGAGTGGATTAAAAAAATAGGAAACTTCTATATGCTGCCTAGAAGAAACACACCTCGTGGATAAAGATATACATAGACCAAAAGTGAAGGGCTGGAAAAAGATATTTCATGCAAATGGAAATTTAAAAACAAAAGGCTGGGGTCATGATACTGATATCACAGAAAATAGACCTTAAGACAAAAACTGTAAGTAGAGACAAAGAAAGACACTAAATAGTAATAAAAGGGCTAATTGGGATCAGCAGATGGTGCAATGGTTACATTGCTAGAATCCCACATAGTTGACCCTGGTTCAAGTCTTGAACCCAACAACTTAAAACTCACTCCAGGTGCATATGCATGCATGCCCAAAAATCCTGAGAGAAGAATGGAAGAGAAGGGATTGAGGTGTGGCCATCCTCCCTGGGGGGTGATTTTTCACATTTTGTCTTTCTGTATGTTTCTCTCCAGTGAGTGCACATGCCCTGTAGCAAAAAATCTGTTAAAAAAAAAAAAAAAGGTGGGGGGAGAGTGGGCTAAATGACCAAGAAAATATAACACTTATAAATATCTATGCACACAACACTGGAACACCCAAACACAAAAGAGAGACTGCTAGATCTAAAGGAATAGATAGACTTCAACATAGTAACCATTGCAGATCTCCACACTCCCATTGTCTTCTTTGTACATATTATCTAGACCAAAATAAGCAGAGATACAGGATCTAAACAATATCATAAATCAAAGGACTTGACAGACCTTTATAGACCTTCCCACCCAGAAATCACAAAATATACATTTTTCATATCCCCGCATGAACATTTTCAAAGATTGACCACATGATATGGCACAAAACAAGCCTTTATAAATTCAAAGATATAGAAACTATATCCAGCATCTTCTCCATCTACAATGGAATTAAACTTGATATTAACTACAGAAAAAGAAAACTGTGGAAAATATACAAACACATGGAGACTAAACAACTTACTCCTGGATGACTTCACAACCACTAAAAAAATTAAGACTGAAATCAAATGATTCATTGAAACCAATGATAATGAGCACATGATTTTATATTACCTATGGGACAGAGAAAACAGTCCTAAGAGGAAAGTCCATAGGAATTACCATTCACAAGGAAAAATTGAAAGGTGGCAAATAGACACCTAATGACATACATCAGGGAATGAGAAAAGCAACAACAACAAAATACCAGGAGAAAAAAATAAAAAATAATAAATGAAATAGAGAATAGACAAATTCTACAGAATATAAATAAAAGCAAAAGCTGGTTCTTTGAGACGATAAACAAAAGTTACACACCATTAGCTAGACTAATTAAGAAGAACAGAGAAAAGAACCACATAAATAAAATCAGCAATAAATCAGGCAATGTCACAGCAGACATAACAGAAATCAAAAAGATCATGAGATAATATTACAAACGACTATATGCCAACAAAGAAGAAAAACTGAATGAGACAGACAAACTTCTGGACACACATAATCTACCAAGATTGAATCTGGAAGACAGAAAGTATGAATAGTCCAATAGCAAGCAATGATATTGAATCAGTAATAAATAGTCTCCCCTCCCCCCCAAAAAAGCATAGGTGCCGAAGGCTTCATTTCTGAATTCTACAAAACCTTTAAAGAGGAGTTAATTCCCAATCAACTGAAACTATTGCTAAAGAGTCAAAGAAATGAACCCCCCCCAAAATTTATTCTATGAAGCTTCTATACCCTTATCCCCAAAATAGACAAGGACGTAACGAAAGAAAGTTACAGATTAATATCTCTGATAAATATGGATTCAAATATTCTCAACAAGAGAAAAATGCATTCATGATAATTGCAGTACTGGAAGTCTTAGCCAATACAATCAGACAAGAAAATAAATTAAAGCACATCCATGATTACTACAGAATTGTTCACTATTGCTAAGACATGGATTCAACTCAAATGTCCAAGAACAAATAAATGGATTGAAAAGATGTGGCATATATACATCATGATAAACTACCCTACAATCCAGCAATTCCATTCCTGGGAATCTACTCAAAGGATATGAATTTATTCAGTCAGAAAAGCACTTGCACAATCGTGATTATTGCAACATTGTTCATTATAGCTAAGATGTGGAATAAACCCAAATGTCCAAGAACAAATAAGTGGATTAAAAAGTGTGGCACATATATATCATGAAATACTACTCAGCTATAACAAACAATGAGATCCTGACATTTGATAGGCATTTGTGGGAAACAGATATGGTTTATTATCTGTTGATGAGTACATATATAGTATTCTCAACTGGGCTGGACTGAGGTGCATATCATGCTGGATAGTCTCTTTATAATCTATATGATGTATAGTGATTAAATGTATAAATAATAATAATAATAATAATAGTAATAGTAACAAAAGAGAAACAATAAGATTAAAAAAGGGAAAAAATTAAATTAAAAAGGGAAATATCCAGAATAATATTTGACCAAGTATCTGGGTACCATGACCCAGGCAAATTGACACATAAAATTAACAGAGGAGGGCTCAAATAAATAAATAAATAATATTAAAAGTGTGGCACATATATATCATGAAATACTACTCAGCTACAAAAAAAAATGAGACCCTGACATTTGACAAAAAGTGGACAAATATAAAAGATTTCATTGTGAGTGAAGCAACCTGAACTATGAAAGAGAAAAACTGTATGTCCGTACTTAATATATGCCAAATTTCTGCACTCTATGGCAGAAACTGCAAGATTGGAATGTATAAAGGCATTCAGAACAACTGTGGATTCTAGAGACAGTATGGGAGGAGGGTGGACAGTGAGGGCAGGAGAAAGGAATCGGGGGGAAAAAGGCAAAACATTTTATAGACACAAAAGTGGAAAATTATCTGGTGCTGATAATGTGTATGGTACTATCTTTGACTGGACTAATATACAGTGTATTTATGCTGGAAAGATTCATTTTGTATTTTGTAAAGATGTATGATTAAATGTAAACCAATTTTTTTTCTTAAAAAATAATGTATTTAGTGACTTCCTAACCAATCATCCGTCAATGGTATGAATTCTGTCATTGTCATAAAATACTTTTTATGAATAGGTGACTGGCTAGGCAGTGGTAAATATATATAATCAAATTATTGACATATTATGTTTCTGTATCCATAAATAAATTATATATCAGGTTATGGAGATATAGACAAATACAACCTACCTTCTATAATAGTAGTAAATAACTAAGAGTGTGTAAAAAAAAAAAAAAGACCACTGAAAGTAAATTACAACAAACATACACAATCTATGGTTTAAGAGAGGCTAAAGTGGGACTCATATGTTATAAGACTTGCGTTCATCAGCTCCCACTCTGACATCTGCACCCCAGATACTCATTTTCAGTAAGTGATACACACAAGAGCTTTTATTTTGTAATTAGAATAAGAGATGGAGCTTTGCGTTGGCATCTAATAGTATGAGAAAAGAATGGTGGCATAGATGCTATGATGTCCATCCCAAACAGAAGTTTTGTTCTATGTTTAAGCTCATATAACTAAGAGTAAGGTCCTAAATAATGCTTAATTAAACTCTTGCATGAAAGATTCTGTAAAATATTGGGTCAAAATGATGGGTTCCCAGGGACTTCAAGTTTTAAAAAGTTGAGGCAAATAAATGAAAAGGAAGCCATTTTTCTCACTAATGCCCTACAACACTTAAGTAGCTCAAGGGGTATAGCTTGAGGAAAAATCCTTCTTTCAAGGAGAAATTTTTTCTTGGGACAAATTAGTATTCCTGTAATACACAGTGGCAATAATGAACCTTCTCAGATAGCAATTCTATTTACTTAAGAGTTAAACGATACGAATGAGAAGACTGGCCCAGTCACAGTGGTGCAGTGGTAGCACATGGACCTGCAGTGCTGGAAAACATGGAAGACTGGAGTTTTTTTCCCAGGTCAGCCTGTACATGCTGCACATGTATGTACAGTCCATTATGCTAACCAGCGGGGAACAGTGAGATGAGAATGGCAGTGTAAGACCATGTTGAAGGTGTTTGTCTCTCTCGCTCTCAAGAAAGAAATAAAGATTAGAAAAATAAATAAGAAAACTAGTACTAAATGACACTTCTAGAGCGTTGACATTTTGAGGCACTATCTTGAAAAAATATTAAAATAACTGGAAAAAATATTAATATAACTGAAAATGATATATTAATATCCTTCTGGAGGACGGTGGATGGTGTAATGGTTATGTCACTGGACTCCCATGTAGTCAATCATGGTTTGAGTCCCTGACCAGACAGCTTAAAACTCACATCAGGCGTGTGGGTGTGTGTGCATGCCCAAAAGCCCAAGAGGATATTGGAGGAGAAGGGATTGTGGCATGGCCATTCTCCCTGAGGGGTGATTTCTTGCTTTCTGTCTCTCTGTCTCTCTCTGTCTCACCAAAGAATATGCACTCCCTATAGAAAATATCTCTCTCAAAAAATATATATATTTTGCTGTTATGCAGATAGAATCACCACATATGTGAGTTACATGTATATTGTGGCTTTAAAAATCTAACAAATGAAATCACCTTTTCCCAACTTTAGAAATGATTGCAAGAGAAAATCAGGTTTTAGGCAGGAGGAAAGCAAAATATCTTCCCTTGCTACTGTATTTGGGAATGTAGGAATGCATTTAGCAATCATAAATTTCCTAATACTGGATCCTCAAACAGTTATCCAATTATAGTCAATGTTGAAGGCTAGAGCCCTCTGCAACAGAGAAATAGATGAAAATGGAATAAGAGAATGGAAGTAATTAGACTACATATTCAAAAGTCCTA